AGCATAACATCAATATAAAGATGTAACTTTTTTTTGCAAATTTAGCTTCCCCAAAAAGTTAAGTAAAACCTTTAATGAACTATTTTTAATTTTGTCTAGTAAATTTTTTTAGTCCCCCTAATCTTGTGTTTCCTCTAGTAGAATGGTAGCGCAAAATATTTTTATACCTTGTAGTACACTTGTAATATTTCAATACCACATTAAATTAAACATCATATCTAATTATCTATAAAGACACTATATATATTCTAGTAGTTATTTTGGAAAATATTAAATTATTTAAATCTATAACAACACTATAATTTGGAGTAGTAGTTATTCCATTATAAATAGTATTTCGCACGTAATAATATATTATGGATTAGTATTGGAATGAGAAGTAAACAAATTTTAATCAAAAGAAACAAAAGAAATGAGACTAAGAGAGACATGAAATAAGATAAAATTACACTATAGAGACTAAGGACTAGAAAGTTTTAATTGAGTTTGACTATTACATAGCCTTAGAAATTTAAAATAACATATTAATTTCAAACGGGACACCGGGACGGGACATGATATTTTATAGCTATCCCGGTCCTGTCCCGTTTAATATCGGTGCGGGACCGGTTCGGGATGAAAAAATTGCGTCCTATATGGATCGGGATAGCTAGTTTCAGAATAGTATCGGGATTTTTCGGTTTGGGACACCGGGACCGGAATTTTTGCCCACCCCTACCAAGGAACCACCTTCCTCACACCTCCATTGAAGCTTCCTCCTAGCTTCAACACATCTTCCTTCCACCTTCCTAGTACCTAGTTTTGGTGCTATAGATAGAGAGCTTGGAGAGTCTTTCTATCATCAAGTAAATTAGAATAGATCATCATAGCACAACCAAGAGTGTTGTGAATATCCTTGAGAGATATGTGAGGTGTTTTTGAGAGTTTTTAGTTAGAGTTTGTATGTCTTTTCTTTCTATTCTTGAAAGTAATAGAAGTGTTTTTCTCTCATATTAGCACGATCCTGTTATTCCCAACATCGGCGTCCCTTCCAGAAAACTATTTTAGTCCTCGGACTTACCCCTCTAAGTCCACCAATATCCCCACACTTTCCGGTCTGTCCTTGTATTTTGTTCCTCCCCCTGCAGCTTGCACCAATGTACCACTAGTCATCCAATCTTATTCCGAACACACTCCACCTGCATCTCCACAAATTGCCCCATCAAACCTCCATTAGACATCTGCTTCTTACTTTGGGTTGGGGATAACCTCTGCACAGTGCACATATTCCACCCTTCGTGGTTGGCGGCGGAAACATCTAAATGACTTCCTTCCTTTTCTTATTTTGGCCACTCTAATTGTTCGCCGTTGGGAATAGATGGGTAAGATTGGAAGAAGATCAGAACAAGTAGATATATGGAGAGAGGGGATGAATAAAGAGATATAGATGTGCTGATGAAAGCTTTGAGGGAGGTGGGAATAGGGGTAATAAAGACAATTTCATAGGTAAAACTTATCAAACAAGGTAACATAAAGATTTAAATGGGACGTCCCAAAAATAAAAGTCATCATCATCATTACCCCAGTGCCGCAAAGACTCCCTCCCACCTACGATGGGGTAGGGGAGGTCGGATCTACGTAGTCTTGCCCCTGTACTGAAGCACAGAGAGACTGTTTCCGGATGACCCGTAGTGAAAATCGCGTCAAAAGTTGCATGAACTGACTGCTGGTTCACGTAAAAAAAGCACAAAAAGTTTAGTGAGTCATTTTACTTTATTTCATTATATTCCAAAACCAAAAAATAGTGAGCTTTGGCTCCATTGCAAATGATGGAAATTTTGCTATAGTTAAGTATACTAATATAAACTTAAATAATACAAATACATATAAATATAATTAAATATATATACAAACATATTTATACACATAAAAATAGGCCGGCCTGTTAAATTAAAAAGGCTTCATAGTTAGGCTAAGTCTGTTAGGCTAAGTCTGACTTTTTAGATAAACTCCAAGCCTAGTTTGATTATTAAACATTATCGAGCATGAATAGTGAATACACAACCATAGGTTGGTGACAGGACTGACAGGCACCAGCCTGACAGGTAGAAATAATAGGGACCATATACAAGGTAGTATTATTTTTCTGATTGGATATCAAATCTAAAATCTTATTCTTGATATTTGTTCAAACCCGTCTTATTTACCGGTTTGATTCGGCAGTTACTACAAGTCTAAGAATCTGAACACATGTAAACTTTTAAAACATTAGTCATATTGCATTTACTTTGCATTGCACTAGACAAAACCACACACGAGAAGATAACTCTCAACCTTTCCCTAGCATGTTCCGGGATTCAAACATGCCCTAAGAGACTTATATTTGATACTGTGAAGCAGTGCCGGTCCTACCTAAACTCGGACCTGAGTCGACCTTCATAAAATGGGCCCCATACATGGTTTTTGTTTATCATAGAAATTCACTAAAATTGAATGATTAAATGTCTTCCATTATCCCAAGACGACATTGAATGTATTAAAAAATTACTTAAGTAAAACCCGTCAAACAGTTTTAGATACATAATTTAGTGGAATCCTCAACGATATATACTATTAATTTTCTCTACAAATCAACACTCGAACTAACTCAAAAAATGCAAATCACCCCTTGTATAATATGTTCTGTCCGACCGTCGCCATTTGGGTGATTCCTAGTGGAATTTTTTTATGAAATTTTTTGAGCATCTTCTTCATTAAGTCTAGTTTATCCATACCAAATTTCAGTTAAACATTCAACCAATAAGGCAGTCAAATGATTTTCTGAAATATATTGCGATGTTTAACAGCGCAGTTATCTTCCAAAATTCATTTGACTGCCTTCCCAATTGATTTTTTTTACTGAAATTTGGTATGAGTAAATTAGACTTAATGAAAAAAAATGTTCAAAAAATTTCATAAAATTCCACCGGGAACTGCTCCAAATGAAGACGGCCTTGGAAAATACATAGGTATAATAATGATAATATTTAAAATATTATGGGCCCCTAATTTTTTCAAATTTTTTGGGGCCCTGAGGCTTGGGCCTCTCTAGCCTAACATAAGACACGGGCCTGCTGTGAAGAGTACCTTTCCATGGCCAGAATCTGTAGTGAAAAGAAGCACTCCTAAGAGCACAGCCACACCGATGAATGCCACAAACCATAAAACATGTGAGAAAAGATATTGTCTGATCTGCTGTAGCATTGCCATAGCGAAAAGCTTAAGCGTTTTTATAGGTTGTACCAGAAGTGTCAAATTTGCTATTTCTTCTTCGTGATTAGACTGAAGACCCGCGAGGATTTAGTGAAATTTGTACGCACGTAAGGCACGACAGAAAAAATAAGAGACACATTTCTTCAACAATTAAATCTGGGTTTGTGTGGCCGTCTCCTTTTTTACTTGTTGCTTCCATGGAGTGGCGAACATTCAAATATTCAAATGCCTTCGCATGTTGCCATAGAGCCGCTATACTCATACTTAGCTCAAGATTACATACATATTGGAATGATATATTCTATAACTAAATACACCAATTAAGTAAGTCTATTGACACCACAAGAAATAAATTAAAATAAGACTAATGATTTCTATTGACAGAAAGTAGAAAGTGGTGAGTGTTAAAAAATGGCGGGCTATGAAACCTGAGCAGTCGATCTGAGAGATTCACATGTAACCATAGTGTTCAAGTTGATCTACATGAAACTTTAGTAACCAATATGATATTCCCATGCAACCAGGGGCGTAGACAGGGGTGGCCAACCCTGGCCATGGCCCAGCTCAAATTTTAAAAATATCTAAATTTTTAGGGTAAAAAATTCTGGGTAAATTTTTTCCAAAAATATTCTTTGTACCGGCCTAGTGTCCTGGCTCTGCCCCTGCATGCAACTATAGTGTCCAATTTGATACTTCTCTCTTGGTAATATATGTACATTGGCAATATACGTGGTTTGGTTTGTCTTTTTCATATAAAAAAATGAATTTGGAATTTTTATATTTATAAAAAATTGGGAAAAGTAATTAAAATACCCCAAACTTGCATATGTAATTTAAATACCCCAAATTTTACATAAAAAGTTATTTTAGTACCATGGTCATGTATTATTTCTTTCAAAAATGTTAATTTTTTGTGTTAATTTTATAATTTAAAATATTTTAGCATTCATGAAGATACAATTAACATTCTAAATTTTAATTGTAAAAAAATAGTATTACCCCCACTCTATATAATTGCAACGTTTTTAATTTGCTATTTTAAATTATGCTATTAACACAACAAATTTACATTTTTGAAATAAATAATACATGATCATGGTGTTAAAATAACCTTTTATATAAAGTTTGGGGTATTTAAATTACATATGAAAGTTCGGGGTGTTTATGTCACACACCCCTTCAAAGTTTGGGTTATTTTAATTATTTTTCCCTTATAAATTTGATGGCAGTTACTAGGGAAAACTATCAAATAAGTCCCCGTACTATACCGAAAAAGTCGATTAGGCACTCGTACTTTATAAACACTCAATTAAGTCCTCGAACTATTAAAAAACGTTCAATTAAGCTCTTTTGGTCGGTAAGTAACCGGTTTCCCGGTTAAATGTAACCTGTTTCCCGGCAGCCGCCGTTGCTGGGGTTCAAGCACATCATCGCCGTCGTCTCCGTTTAACCGGGAAACCGGTTACTTACCGACCAAAAGGGCTTAGATGAACGTTTTTTAATAGTTTGAGGACTTAATTGAGTGTTTGTAAAGTACGAGGGCCTAATCGACTTTTTCGGCATAGTACGGGGGCTTATTAGATAGTTTTCCCCAGTTACTATTATCGTTCTCCCATTTATGTTATTTTGTATATGTGGTTAATAAACATTATATTATATCAAGAAAATATTATACACTAATTAATTACCTCATTGTTCACCAACGCTAAGAGTTTGCCAACTTTTATTCAAATAATATTTTTCTTAATATTATTTAAATCTGTTTGCAGGTAAAGATCTTGAAGCAGGAAGAGACATGAAGAAGATAAATGATGCAGGACCGACCTTACCAATCTTCCTCAAGGTAAAATACTATTCCTTCCGTCCAAATAATATATAAAGTGTTACTTGGTGAAGGTCCTACTCAATTTTCCCAAAGTGAAAGGGTAAAACGAATGTAATCACATGAAATTAAAAAACCATTCATATTTATGAAATAAGACTTTGAGACAAACGTGAGGCTTGAGAAGTTAATTTGGTATTTTAAAAAAGTTCGAGAAATTAAAAGACCACAAAAATGTGTTGGTTTGGAATAATGTGCAGTTTAGTGAGATTAGCTACAAAGTAGTTGTGAAGGGGAAGAGATGTAAAGGGGAAAAGGAGATTTTGAATGGAATAAGCGGTGGAGTAGATCCCGGGGAAGTTTTGGCGCTGATGGGGCCTTCCGGAAGTGGAAAGACTACTCTCCTCACCCTTCTGGGAGGAAGGAATAAAAGAGGGCCAGCACCCGGCGGATCCATTACTTATAATGACCAACCATATTCCAAGTTACTTAAGAGCAGGTATATATATACTACGTACTTTATAGTAGCTAACTACTCACTCACTTATTTCTGCTCCCTGTTTATTTAACCCTCTCTTTGTTTATACTCCGTACTCCGTAGCATTTAATATTAATGTAATATCGTATTATGTAATGTATTTTCCTCTCTACTTTCTTTCCCTAGTATTCCAGAATCCCAATCTGCCTGACCGGCCCTTAGAGTTCTATAGAACGAATTTTGCCCGGTCCTATATTCTACATTGAACAACTTATTTCTCATGAAAACATATGTCTTCCTCTAAAGACATTTGACATAACAGTATGTGAATGAATGTGATCATGAATATTGCAGGATAGGATTTGTGAGTCAAGATGACATCCTCTTCCCTCACTTAACAGTGCGAGAAACACTGACCTATGCTGCTCGGCTAAGGCTACCCAAGACACTGAGCAGGGAGGAAAAGGAAAGAAGGGCAATGGATGTCATCTTCGAGCTGGGGTTAGAAAGGTACACAGGGTAAACTAAACTAAGTACGTAGCTAGATACTTACTTCAATTCTATATAGCCAGCCAGCAAGCAAGCACTGGTCAGTCTCATCAGAAAGCTAATTAACTAATTAAGGGTATTTGATTCAATTATAGGTGCCAAGACACCATGGTTGGGGGCTCCTCCTTTGTTAGAGGAGTCTCCGGCGGAGAAAGAAAACGTGTTTGCATTGGCAATGAGATTATATTAAATCCCTCCCTTCTCTTCCTGGATGAACCTACATCTGGTTTGGACTCCACAACTGCTTTAAAGATCGTTGACATATTACATGATATAGCTCAGGTATATATTTTCTTTCATAGCCAGAACTAAGGTATATAGTGTTGGACGGTGAAACAATTTCACATTCAAAAGATGAATGTGGAAGAGATGTGTATTGGATGTGTGGTTATACTAGGAAAGACTGCTTGAAAAATGAAAAATCTGAAAAAAGGTAGGAGTAGCTTACACCGTAATATAAATAATTAAGTACTTTGATGGATGGATGGATGGGTCTTAACATATACTACCTCCGTCCCTTTTGTATTGGGACGGAAGAGGGTGGCACGATTATTAAGAAAAGTGGGTTTGTGTGGTTGATATTAATTGATAAAGTAAGAATAAAATAAGAATGATTTAGAACCACACAAACTTTACCAAATATGGTATGAGACAATTTTAGTTGAACTTCCCGAAAAGGTAAAACGGGACAATATAAGGAGGACGGAGGGAGTATAAAAAATCAATTTATTACATTTGAACCAAAAAGTTTGAGCGAGCTTTTTTTGTTAAACTTTGAATAAATATAACAGGCAGGAAAAACAGTGATTACCACAATTCATCAGCCATCAAGCAGGTTGTTCCTCAAGTTTGACAAGTTGATTCTTCTTAGCAAAGGAAGCTTGCTTTACTTTGGGAAGGCATCATCTGCAATGGATTATTTCTCATCCATAGGGTGTGCCCCACTCATTGCCATGAATCCAGCAGAATTCCTGCTGGACCTTGCTAATGGAAACGTCAATGATGTCTCCATCCCATCAGAGCTGAATGACAAAGTGCAAATGGGTAATTACATGCGTCAAACGCAAAAAAGAAAGCCATCTCTATCAGTTATGCATGAGGTAAATTATCAATCACTTCTATATCAAAACCATATAGTTGACGCTAAGCTGTGAATGTGCAGTGTAGTTAAAGAGTGTTATTTTCTGTTGTAATATCTGCACCATAAGACACCTGCAAAGACAAAAAAAATAGCTCGAGATGCAATGCCTCTGTCCTTGCGAATATTCCCAGTGAGCGGAAAGTCCATAGGTACACTTGCATAGGCGTGAGATTTTTTATGTTGAATTGACTGGTCGAAATCTCATGTGCGTGAGGAATTTCCTTTCCCTTTTCTTTTTATCACTTACAAAAGGGTGTTCCCATCATTTGGGAATAAGGCTTAGATGTTGTTGTTGTACAAAAGGGTGCTCCAATATAAAGTGGGAAAAGTTCCCCCTTAATTAGCATGCAGTGTGGGAATTGGGAAACTTATAAAAGCAAAGGCAAAGTTTACTCGAAATACTCCTATGCTTCTCCAACAATTTCCACTTTATACCCTGCAAATAATATGGCATTCCCACTTTTCATTCCTAACTTCCCTTTTTCCACGTTATGGACACAATTATGGTTGCTGACCACTTTTGGTTCTGATCACTTATTCGGACAATCTTCGTACAATTTGTGCTTATTTTTTGCTTGAAAGGTTACTAGACAGGACTAAAGGTGACAAGAAACCCATAGCCCTACATCAAAAAGAGAGAAAATGAAATGAAAGCGGACATACCAAGAAAGAATTTTCCAAACAATGAAATGAGTATATTTGCCACCTGTGCATCTCTAATGAGAATTTTAGAAGTCATAAAGAATATCGATAAGAGTAAAGAGGCTCAAGAAAGTAAAAATAAATTTATTAAATACAGAGAAATAAAAAGACAACAAAATAGCTAAAGAAGCTTTCCAAGAGCCAATATGGCACTGTCAAGCAAGATGTTCTTGCCCCGGCAAAAGTGATATTTATCTTGAAACTTTTGCTTCCTCCCTTTTCTAAAAGAGAGACAAATATAATTAAATGCAACCTATAATTAAAGTAAGAAATAAATTGCATATTTAACAAAGTGTTAATTAAATACCCTTGATTTTACCCTAATAAAAGACCCCATTGCTCGCTAATTGGTTCCCTAAACTATAACCAAAGATCCACATTTTCCACTAGGCTTCTAAATTAGTTTCATTTTTCTGCTTTTCTTTCCATAATGATTATCATGCAGTATCTTGTGGAATCTTATGAGACACATATAGCTGAAAGTGAAAAGAAGAAACTTCTTGGCCCTCTACCCATTGATGAAGAGCTGAAGTCCAAAGTGAGTTGCATAAAGAGAGAATGGGGAGCAAGCTGGTGCGAACAATTTTGCATATTGTTTTGGCGAGGACTTAAAGAAAGGAAGCACGACTATTTTAGCTGGTTAAGAATCACTCAAGTCATTGCAACAGCGCTTATATTGGGTATGCTCTGGTGGCAGTCCGGAGGTGATCATAATCCTACTCAATTACAAGATCAGGTACAAAATTAACTTTGAATGATGAAAAGAGAAAACAAGACAACAAATGTTAGACGGGTCATCATGAACTCCCCTCATCACAAAATAATCAAAGTTGCTTCGTGTTCACAAACTAATCAAAGTTGCATCATCACACCCTACTTTGTGTACACGTTTGCAGACAATTGGTGTGCTGGCATACAAAACTGGCTGTGGGAATAAATAAGAGTTATCTATGCATAGACAGCTCTTGTATATGCCCATTGACATTAATTTTCATGTCAAAATGCATTAGACTGAAGAGTTGTTCTCAATCAGATTATGATGTAGCCAGTCTCATATGAGATGCCTCACGTTGAGATGGGCCAAAATGCAATACTTTAAAGCCGAGCTTAAAAGTAAAACCATTCAAAAAAAACATATGGATTTTTTTTCTAATAAGTATTACTCCCTCCCTTCCAATCTTCCAAACTAGTGTTCTACTTAGTTTGCAAAGCTTGATTGAGGACAAGGCTAATTCTACCGACATTATATTGAAATTAGCATTAGCGATTAAAATTCTCATGTTTAGATGTCACACTAAAAGTTAAATGCAAAATTCAAATTTAATTGTGATAAAAATTTAATACCTAAACAGAACTAGAGAATAAAAATAGTTGGTTGACCGCTAGTGATGGCAACGGGGCGGATAGGGGACGGGTACACATAAAACCGGAACCGCCCCGTTGGATAAATGTTTGCCCCAAAACCGCCCCATTACCCATTCGGGTAATTTTTATTTGAACCGTACCCGCCCCAACGGGGAATCGGTTTATCCACGGGTAACCGTTTCCCCAAATGATACCAAATAACCAACTTTTTTGGGAAAACAAACAACCAATTTTTAATCCTACTTGTTATTTATATATTCAAAGCACCCTAAAACATACAAAAATAAACATTTAAGCAATCAAGCAGACTGACATAAATTCATTAGTATGATATATGCACCCAATATCTCTTGTAACATAATAAAAAAGTAGTAATCATCCCAGAATCCAAATTTAAAAAATAGGTTTAGGCCTATATTTAGTTGTAGGCCTAAAAAAGTAGTATACTTTTTAGCATTATTTATATGATATATACTATTTATTATACAAAATTTAGCATATACAGTTATTATTCTTATATATAAAAAGTTATAATTTATTAATAATGTTATCAATCGGGTAACGGTGCGGGTACCCGCACCACTAGTGAACGGGGCGGTTTCGGGGCGGATAACGGGGTCGATTAGTATAGAACCATAACAGCACCATTAACCATTTAAAAAATTTGGGTATTCCCCGCCCCGTACCCATTCCCCAGTCAAACCGGTTTTCCCCAGTTTGACCAAATCGGTTCGGTGCGGGTATCCAACGGGTCGGTCGAAATTGACCGCAAAATAGTGAATGAATTAGTAACTTCATCTTCTGAAATATGACATTTTTCTCCATCCCACACTAGTTTAGTCCAAGAATTAATTGCATTTATGACAATTTGTCTTATCCCACGAAAAAACTGTAGAAATCCTGATATAAGAACCACTACAATGAAGAATGGCGCTCAACCTTTGCAGGCAGGACTGCTCTTCTTCATTGCTGTGTTTTGGGGATTTTTTCCAGTCTTCACAGCAATATTCACATTTCCTCAGGAAAGAGCAATGCTAAACAAAGAGAGAGCAGCTGATATGTACCGATTAAGTGCATATTTCGTGGCCCGGACAACCAGTGATCTGCCACTTGACCTATTTCTTCCATTACTCTTTATTGTT